AAACTTTAAAATATTATGATATATTAGATAAATTAGTTAAAAATTATAATAATACAGTACATTCTTCAATTAAAATGACACCTGTTCAAGCAAGTAAATTAAAAAATGAATTAACAGTGTATAAAAATTTATATCCAGAAAAGGAAGAGAAAATTAAAAAACCTAAATTCGAAGTAGGTGCTAGAGTAAGAATAACAAAAAAAAAGGGTAAATTTGAAAAGGGTTATACTACTCGTTGGACTAAAGAAATATTTGTAATTGAAAAAGTTTTAAATACAATTCCTTTTACTTATAAAATAATTGATTTAAAAGGCGAAGAAATAACAGGTGCTTTCTATGAACAAGAATTACAAATGACTAAGTTTTAAATCTTTATTATAACATTCATTTGTAAAAGTATTTGCAAAATTACACATTATCATCCATGTACATATAACAGTCACTCAGGTATGTAGAAATACAGAATCCATTATCAGTTAATAGTCAACACAAAATCCTTAGCAACGGCGCTACTGTAGTGTCACCGTTACCATGTTATGAATTACGGTAGTAAAGTGGGATTGTACATGACAAACAAGAACAAATATTGTACTATACATAATTTAAATGGCGTATCCTCTTACAGCGTCGGCAGTCATGACTTCTTGAGATGATTCCATTTCTCGTGTGGAATACATATCAGGATTTTCTTGCCAAAATGTGTTCATTTCTGGGCTGCTGTTAAACAAAGCTACAAGTTCTTTCTTAAGCTTGAAGATCTCGGTGAAAGAAAGTCCAACTTTATAAAGTTTATAGTATCCTCCCAACGATTTTGCACATTCCCGCAACCTTCGAGCATAGGAAGGATGAATCCCAATGTTTTCAAGAAGCCACTTACCCCATGTAATAGTGATAATCCCTTGCATACGTAGTTCGAAAAATTTCTTGTAAACACCATTGAGCAACATTCCATATTGAATAAAAAAGAAGAGAGTCTGAGCATTTTGACGTTTAAGATGCTTAAACCCGTCTTTTAATTTTTCAAGCGCTTGTTCTTCAGTGGTAATGTCCTCAAGTTTAAACAGAAACACATCTCTGTCTATCGTCTTCTTTGTTTCTATAAAGTTTTCAACTAAATATGCATGAAGTTGTTCATGACTTCGTTTTTGTACTCCTTTTGTTTTCTTTGTCATGATTACTTGCTTTAAATTACTCTTTGGTTTCCTCGGAAACGTCTTGGTTGGTCCTTCTATCACAACATTATTTAAAAAATTAGTCATATTCATATGAAAAGCCTGATGTTCTAAAATAGTTGCTTTTTGTTCATCCGTCCATGTGTAATTTTGTGTAGCAATCATTTTTTGAGTATATGATCAAATTGACGAAATTCCAATAAAATGTTACAACGGAATCTATTCACAACACAAAATAATAGAATGAATAAACACCTACAGATGATTTTCTTGTGAAATACTCCAATCTCTCCACTGTCAATAAACGTCTGCTATATGTTTACATCACCCAGGCAACATGTAAACACACTCTTGACAACCATGTAAATATTTCCAATGATCGATTTAGTCTATAACACTTCACAAATGTAAAAAGCAATTGAAGTTGTAGTCGTATTGATCCGTTTTATTACTAGACTATATTGATAAAATTAATTAAAAATCAAGGTTGGGGCGCACTGGGGAAATTATTTTTTCTCTTAAATCCCACAGAATTCTTTCTTCGCCTGTTCTCCCGGTTTTTTTATTTATTTTTTTTTTGGAATTTTTTTGTTGTTTTTTGGGTGTTTTTAATAACGTTTTTTCCAAAGTAAAAAAAAAATTTTTTTGGGGAGTAAGAAAATTTTGGTGTTTTTGCGTTTTTTTTTGCTTTTTTTTTTATGAAAATTTAGGGCTCTTTTACTTGAAATGAGGGTAATTTTTTGGGGGTCAATTTTTTTTTTTTGGAGGGGGATATAGGTGTGTGATATTGTGTATGATTGCCAATGACGCAATTCTCCACCAGACTCCAACGAATGTAGTTGTAAGCAAAACAATTTACGAAAAGCAAATATGACAGTCACGAACCAACGACAACCACAGAACTACAGGCTCCTGACTTTGGAAAGACACATACAGAATGTGACGGGGTTAAATATGTTTGAAGACACAAACCCTCCGCTAAACTGGGGCACTTGTGTAACAAACTATGTAAAACAATAAACGAAAAACAAATATGAGAAACAGCAAAAAACTACTCAATTACAGGCTCCTGACTTGGGAGAGACACAAATTGAATGTGAAGGGTTAAACATGTTTGCTGGTGCCAAACCCTTCCCCTTACCTGGGACAGTAATGTAACAGTACAACATAAGAACAAACAATAAAAATCAGTTGAAAATGGCTTAACTCATCACATTGATAAAAAGCAGAAAACAACTAACAAAAACACAGACCTGACGTGGCAGGGAATTTATACATCCCTCAAAAAGAAAAACACAAAGAACAGATCTTAGAGTACTCGCAGTTACTGACAACTAGTTCAAAACCAATAATAACGAATAAACAAATCATGTATCTAAGACTAAAATGTCAAGCAGTACACATCCAGCATCCAATGGATTTTGTGTAAAGATGTCATTAGCACTCAAATAAACATGACCTTGTGCAATGCCAAAATATAGGTATCGACAGATTGTAGAACCGTTAATATACATATGTGCATAACAATAATGTTCAGAATGGTTTTAATATACTGATAACAAAATCAATATTTATACCAATAAAAACAATATTCACAGATCTCATTACAGTGTTGAATTGATAACCTTTTAGAATAAGTTTATTAACAGGATCAATAACGTTACCCGGGTCGTATCTAAATTTTCGGTCTCGGTAAATAACATCACCGTAAAAATAAGGATGTGCTATCTCGTGTGAAATAAGTTTTATACAGACACAGCCAAACTTACACACCAAATCTTTGTATCTATGGAAGAATTTAGTAAAGGTGTTAAATAATTTGTGGTAACGAAATACCTGACTTATTTTTTGCCAGTAAAACATGGAGTACGCTCATTGAAATCCAAAACGTCACTACAGACACGGGCATAGCGAACGAGTTCAGATATATAAACACCGTAAAACGGTGCCAAAGGACTATCACCGCCCACAAAAGGGAAACTAACACTAGGAAAAGATATAATTAATTCAATTATTTGTATTTGCTTGATTACAAAATGTTTTGGTAAATAGTAAGGAAACTAGTTTAAAGAACTTAAAGATAAGTTTAAGAACACTTACAAGAAGCCGTTATGCAACTATATTTGACGTTTCTTTGCGTGTCTATCTTATGTAGCCAATAAATTGTATGGACATTTAAATGTTCAAAGAAGGCCTTAAGCTGAGATGTGGTAATGATATGATTGTGTAATACTAAGTGTGTATGTCCCTGAGAAGCACACGAACCTGAATGTAGAAGAATTTATAATCTATTTATTTTTTAAGAATTTTCGTGTAGTATTTACGTAATATCACCGCCACGTTGTTGACTGCTTTGTCGGTCGATACGAACACAAACCACTTTGCTAGTAGCTGTATATGTGCCAACTGAGAAAAAAATATGAATGGGCTATGATTTTACCATGAAATATATCTATGGGTCGTAATTTTCACAAGACTTCAATATGAATGGGTGTGTTTTTGAAATCCCAGCTGTACCTTTGTACCTAAAATCCTATTTTGAGACCCCGTGACCTGACCGCACTCCTTCAACGGAGGACGATATATATGTTGGTTCTTTTTCAGAATATTTTCAACCTCTCGGCCTTGAACGATATTGAGGTTCCCTGTCATCACATGGCAATAGGGGTCATATCTAAAATTCGATGCTTCATAGCTTCATTATTTTCGATACTGAAGTTTGCTGTAACTGCCGTATACTTAAAAATTAATCTTCTACTGGATTTTGTGTTCGTATACGAAATAAAATAGGTGGCTCTATGTTATCAAATTAGGGAGGTATAAAGTTTTAACGGTAGGCATTCAGCGCAACGACCAAGAGTCGTCCAAAATTACACAATGACTAAATGTATGTAACCGACCAAATATGTAAACTGGTAGCTGTTATTGCTTGGCTTTGTAAGAATTATTCAATATTTATAAAATATAATAATAATAATGATCGAGAGAAAAAAACAGAGACCTTAGAATAATATTTGATATAACAGTAGTCACCAAGAGGTATACCAGGGGTGGTGTACACCTAGCACCTTCCCCGATCTGCAATTACAAATGCATAGATTTTTGTTAAAAATTGACATGTCGTTTATACATAAATTTCCGTTATAATAATGTTAAATGATAATAGGGTCACCAACTTTGGTTTTTTTGTCGGTATACATCAGTCAAAGAGGTGTTCTAAGTGACAAGAATACAACAAAGCGTTGAAATAAGCGTAATGTCATTGCGTTGTGAGCCACTGCGTTGCTCTTTGACGTTTTTCACTACATTATAGGTTACAGATTTGTTGATACATGTACTTCAATAACGAAGATGATGATCCTATATGATTATTTTATAGCAATCAAACTGAAATTTAGGAATCAACAATATATCAATTTTCAAGAAAAATCTATGCATTGGCTTTAGAGATTTTATGATTTTTACGACTATTAAACAACGTTTTTCTCCAATTCTATGTGCTTTTTATACAAACGGTTCACCTATTTTGAAAGAATTCATTAAGTAATTAGAAAGAAAGGCATTTTTTTACTTTCAGTTCAAGTTTAACATACCGAAAAATGTCATCTGTGACATGACCTAAGGTATACATGTACGTAATCGAGCGTGAATCTTGCGATCCTGCTAAATGTTTTACTGTTGTTACGCTTAAACAATTACCCCACCCCTTTCAAAACAAAAGAGGAAATATAAAAGCATAGTAATTGTTCTAACATCAGTACAGAGATAAAATAGATGACATCTAAAAGCCTCTTATTATTATGACGAACAAGCTAGCATGCTACATACCTATGATAGAGCAGTTGATTGATCTGGAAATTATATCGATATACCGGATTTTTGTCCAATCAAAAAACTCGAATGCATCCTGGGAGCACAAACGTTGAATAACATTACCAACACAATCGAACATACCATGTATCTTTCTATAAAATAAAAACAAATCCAGTTATTTTAATAAACGACGACTCCAACACTAGTTTCTATTTAGTTGTAAAGTTGATGACATCCCTTCGAAAGTTTTACGGACGCCATCATAATTTGGTTGATAATATCAAGATGTATCAAGACCACTGTTATGTTCAACTTACCATAGCCACAAAGAAGCTTCTGTGACCTATGGAGTAAGCAATTCATCTACTGTTCCACTAGCCTGTCTAAACTGAGGTTATGAGTTCGAATCCCGCATGTGGCAGGTGTGTTGATATTTGATATGAAATGATTTGGATTGCCGGTTTTCCTGTGGAAGGTCGATGTTTCTCTCCGGGCACTCCGGCTTCCTCTACCAATAAAAACTGACCACTACCAAATTTCCAATAGTGCTGAAAGTGGCGTTAAACACTAAATAATTAATCGATCAATCGTAGCCACAATCCCGTCTTCCTTTTCCCGTTTATGAAATCACCGAAAGCGGCTCATCATGATTTTTCCTTGTCATTAATAGCACGAAGAATGCCACTAATAAAGCTAAAACTGCTTACTCTTCCAGAGCACCTGAGATTACCAAGGGTATTAGTAAGGTTTGTGTTGTGTAATATTGAGTTTACTCTTCCAGAGCACCTGAGATTACCACGGGTATTATTAGGGTTTGTGTTGTCTTATATATAGTTTAATCTTTCAGAGCACCTGAGATTACCAAGGGTATTAGTAGGGTTTGTGTTGTCTAATATTTAGTTTAATCTTTCAGAGCACCTGAGATTACTAAGGGTATTAGTAGGGTTTGTGTTGTCTAATATATAGTTTAATCTTTCAGAGCACCTGAGATTACCAAGGGTATTAGTAGGGTTTGTGTTGTCTAATATTTAGTTTAATCTTTCAGAGCACCTGAGATTACCAAGGGTATTAGTAGGGTTTGTGTTGTCTAATATTTACTATAATTTAGATAGTTTTCTGTATAGTATTTTGTAGATTGCTGTTTGTCTATTCGTCGTATTTCTTTTCAGCGTGGTGTTCTTTCCTCGACTTATGATTTTGATTGCTCCTGTAGTGTCTTATTTACCATTTGTTTCTTATATAAACAATATTTGAGAGGTCGCTAATATTTCGGAATACTTACTTGCATATTGCATTAACTGGTAGAGGTGTTTCTGTTTCAAATGTTGATTTTTCTTCGACATGCTGATTTTCACAGTTTTTTGCAGCGTTAAGGTATCTCTCGGATTCAAAACATTCCTTCCCAAACTTTATATATCCTTTAAACAATAACTATAGTTTATTTAGTCAAAACGCATGATCAACCCTCCAATTATTTCCGTTTATATATCTTGCATTTAATGTTGCTTTCAACTCCTTTAAACTGGTATATCACCTAACATTGTGAATATAAAAATTAGAAGATGTGGTATTATTGCCAATTGAGACAACTTTCCACCACAGTACAAATGACGTGGATATAAGCAATTATAGGGCAGTCAGAATATGAAACGGTTCGGTATAAACAAACTCACATATAATTATATCATAGATTTGAAATCAAGAGTAATAAATATTTTCTGTAGCACGTAGCGACTAAAATTTCTTTGATAAATAATTATGGTAAAATATTAAAGATTTCCCACTGTCATATTTTAATGTATGTATAAGGAAACTGATATTACCTGTTCGGAAGTGATCACCACATACAAAGTTGGAGATGTCTTTTATAGTTTTCAAACCCTTTCTGTATCGGTCAAATTGAGGAATTTCTTTCGTGATATTGACACATTTCATGACAGGCCCTGTACATTCATGAAAGACGTCCATCAATCTATAAATATTCATATTTAAAAGTCCTTTTTGCAACAATCACTGCTTAACAAAAAAAAACCCAAAAAATACAGTATTAAAAAACAATGTTTGTTTATAGAGAATACGAAGCTTGTTTTTAGAGCCAACAAAGCTTGTTTAGAGAACCTATGAAACTTGAAAAAAAACGACTTTTGTTTAAAGAGCCAACGAAGCTCGATAATAACGACTTTTGTTTATATAGACTTCAAAGCTTAAAAAAACCGTCTTTTGTTTATAGAGCGTACGAAGCTTGAAATTACGACTCTGGAGATTTTTTTTTTCGGATTGACTATTAATTTTCATCTGTTGCTACGCATGCTTGCTTTTTAATTTTCCCTTTTGTGCACAATTACTTCCTGCATTTTGTGTTGCAGAATATTCATTTGCATCCTGTCTTGAACAAATTTATTTATTTTCAGCTCTCACCAGCTCTCACCAGCTCTCACTAGCTCTTACCAGGCCAGGATATTCATTTTCAAAATCCTCCTCCCCCACCAAAAGATCAAATGGTTGTCCCATAAACCTATCACGTCGAAGATGTTTATTGTCAGACCCGCAATATATAGAATTATAGAACATTGAACATACTTTATGTGTATAACCTATATAGACATAACGTTAAGATACTTATATGTTTATCTATTATATAATACCAATATATATTTACTTTTCAAGCTTTATTTTTTTTCTAATTCTATTTCTGTTGCCCATCCAAACATATATAATATATACATGTAGCCACAAATGTTATCAAAAGTACTATGACATATCTAAGCATTACCCATCTAGAATATTGATTGTTTATATTGTATTACACTAAGAGAACAAACAGTTAGAAAGATTAATTCAAACTTGTCATGTCTTATTACTTATACTTACGAACATATTTTCTCAAGTTGGTGTTCAGTTGGATAATGCTCCAAAGAATTCAGGTTTTGCCCCACAAAAAGTTGGTAACATTCCATGATCTTTTCTATGCTACAATCTTTGAAATAGATAGAATAAAGAGTTATTTCGATATGACCTTATCATCAAAGACAGGTATTTTCGCAATTTATTAATTTTTTGAGTGTAAGGGTTGGACGGTGGGAAGCTCGGTTTTTGAGTTCACGTTTTCATTCAAGGTCACTTATTTTGCTGGCAGTTTTTTTTTTCTTCAAATTTTTGCTCTTCTCTAATAGTTAAAGACATAAATAATTGAAGCATTTAACATCACCAACGTGACTTTTGTTTATACTTATAATAAAATAGAAAAGCCCTGCATGAACGACAATTAGATATCTCTGATTTGATAAAGAATCTACAAAAAGCAAATTATTGCCCTGACCCTGGAAAACACATAGAATTAAATATGTGTTGATATATATTGTCTATAAAACTTTTAAATAACAAATGGAATATCTTCCTTTGTATAATAAAGAGAATCACAATGTTAAAATGAGAAAATTGTTGAAATCTGTGACCCAAAATATAACATATATATTAGGTCTCAGGATTTATTGATTCTGTTCCAACTACTAAAACGTAGATTAATCCGATCCAAAAGATAGTTCCGACTTGTTTCGAATGATCTGAAGGAATATCGAGAAGGTTTTGGACATACGACGTAGATTCATTCAAATAACGTTTAGTAAAAAAATGGGTATTTTTTAGTTCAATTCAATGTTTCCTGTACCAAGTCAGGAAAATTGCCATTGTTATATTATAGTTCGTTTCTGTGTGTGTTACATTTTAATGTTGTGTTTCTGTTGTGTCGTAGTTCTCCTCTTATATTTAATGTGTTTCCCTCAGTTTTAGTTTGTAACCCGGATTTGCTTTTTTCTCAATCGATTTATGAATTTTGAACAGCGGTATACTACTGTTGCCTTTATTTTTCAGAAATAAAGGCATTCTGGGTAATATTTCAAAAGCGTACACCAAAACCTTTTGGTTCGTTATCAACGGCCTAACAAATGTTCGACAAATAACATTATTTCGTTTCGGTGTAGCGATTTATTTCTGACGCGATTTCATGAATTTTACTGTTACAGCATTATGACCCTGCTTTCCATTCGTGTATAAAGTATCATATTCACAAATCATAGATCTGTGCGGTATTTATGTTTTTTTTTATATAAGGGATGATGGGAAGGGTGTTGGGATACACAAACATCAAACGTAAACCATGGGAAGGGTGTTGGGATACACAAACATCAAACGTAAACCATGGGAAGGGTGTTGGGATACACAAACATCAAACGTAAACCATGGGAAGGGTGTTAGGATACACAAACATCAAACGTGAACCATGGGAAGGGTGTTGGGATACACAAACATCAAACGTGAACCATGGGAAGGGTGTTGGGATACACAGACATCAAACGTAAACCATGGGAAGGGTGTTGGGATACACAAACATCAAACCTAAACCATGGGAAGGTTGTTGGGATACACAAACATCAAACGTGAACCATGGGAAGGGTGTTGGGATACACAAACATCAAACGTAAACCATGGGAAGGGTGTTGGGATACACAAACATCAAACGTAAACCATGGGAAGGGTGTTGGGATACACAAACATCAAACGTAAACCATGGGAAGGGTGTTGGGATACACAAACATCAAACGTAAACCCAGTGCACAAACTTTTTCCTTGTTTGACTTTGCGTTGAGAAAGATTTTTTTTTAATGGTTGGTGAAAGGCAAAGTCTGTTGGTTGGAACACAAAATCAACTAGCTGTAGTGTATTGTATCCTAATACCAGTAGGATTACGCTTTGGCACCCAATTCTGATATCTATGGCGTATACTCTGAGATATTTACCATCTTCTGCTTTGTTTTTCCCACAAAGTGAAAATACTGATGTCTCTATGGAATTTACACCAAACATAATGTCATCACCTTCACAGGCAGCTTTGTGTGGAGCTATGCAGGTGTTGAATGTTGAAACAAGTCTACAAATATATAAACAAATTCCAATAAATGATAAATCGAGATATAATTATCTATCACAACGTTGAATTTGGAATGAAATAATGAAATGTAAGCATAAAATTGAGATATCATAATTCAAATGACATCCGCGGAAAAGCATTATAATTTCTAATTTTCTCCACCGAATTGCAATATATTTTTCGTTTGATCCTATATTTCACTGGGTAGTCGTTAAAAGGAATGCATGCATGTTGTTATAATTTTCCTATTTTGTTAATAGAAAATTTATAAAAAAAGTATAGATATAAAATTGTTTTTAAATTTATGAGTTATGGATTTACAAAATATGAAATATAACACATGTACATGTATTATCTTGTTAAAAAGATTGTCTGACTTTAACGTCATTTAAATTAGTCATAAATCTTTGGAGTACAATTATCGTACTCAGACTCTGAAATCAACCAATCAAAATACTGGATTTGGTGTTTTATAAACAAAATTTATCACTGAGTAAAGCAATCTAATTAAAATTCATATGCTCGTATATATATGAGTATAACGAAATCAGAGTTATATTTTAATTAGATAGCGAGTAAAGTTTAATGACTGATAGGAGTGCGTTACAGGATGTTAGTAAAAGTTCTGATATAGTTTATTACGTTATACAATAGACGTATTCACCTTTTAGTGTTATAAGCTGAAGTTTGTCACTGCATAACCCTATTTCTGTCTCAGATAACCCGTCTGACGCCACGCAACACTCACTTTTTGATTATGACGTCAATTATTCTAAATTGTAATGTTTAGTTATGGATGACAAATTTGCAAACAAGCGTAAATACGTAAAGGATGGTTGTTTAACATCTAGTGACAAGGGCAATCCATATTCAGGACGGAAACTTGTTCATTATATTTTTTAAAAGATGAGTCCTTCTTTGTAAAAGACTGACTCATTGAGCCGGATTTTTAACAAGCTAGTTTCCGTGGTAAGACATTTTACCCTAACAGTACATATAATTCTACTTCTAGTCGACCATTATTTGCTATTTTAATGGAGTGTGTTCCCAAATGTCGACGGGAGTGTTCATCAATTAGAACTGACGTGCCTGTGTGTTATCAATTATGCATACCTAGTATAAAAATTTGAATACGTGGCATGGTTGAAAATGAGAAAACTGTCTAACTAGTTTAGAAGTTAGCATATTTATGTCATAGTGCGGCCTTCACCAATGAGTGAACCACATACGTTCAGTTTTAAACATGTCGACGATTCCACAACTCTGTAACACTTTTGTAACAAACAGAATATGATCAAAACCATAGGATAGACATTCAAAGCACCCGATGAACACTTTAAGAACATTTGTTTAGTCTATGTTTGGTAACATCTATTTGACGTGTCTCGGTACTTATATATCCCGTTATTGTGCTATGGTGGATTATTGTATTCTTGTGTTTCGTTTTTGCTAATGTGCTTTGTCTATATGCCTTTTTGTTTTCCTTTGCTGACATATTTGTTTGTTTTTATAGTGATTAAGATTATACAACAATGTTGACTGCTGTACTCCTATTTTTTACCTATTACGTCTGTTTGTTTTGTTCACACATCGTTGTCAATATAATAGAATTTTATGCGACTGTCATACAAGTGAGAGGTTTAGCTAGCTAAAAAACCAGGTTTAACCCACCATTTTTTTCTTAAAATGTCCTGTTCCAAGTCAGGAAAATGGCAGTTGTTATCTTATAGTTCGTTTCTGTGAGTGTTGAAATGTCGTTTGCTTTTTGTTCACTTCAGTGTTTCTGTTGTTTTGTTGTTTTCCTCTTATTGTTGATGTGTTTCCCTCGGTTTTAGTTTGTAACCCGGATTTGTTTTCTCTCAATCGATTTATGACTTTTGAACAGCGGTATACTACTGTTGCCTTTATTTAGTGGAGAAGCAGCAAATACCAATTAGCATGTGTTTGGTTTGATCCTGTCAGAGATCGAACCAACGAGGAACGACCTCGAACTCCCGTGGTCTATCGACATATATGATAATCAGAACACCTACTTATTGGTTCCAAACTAATACTTAATTAACAATAAGTAAAAATGCAGGTTATTAAAAAAAGTATATGTCTTTCAAAGGTTTCTATAATTCATTGTCAAAGACGCACCTAATTGTATTTACTACTGTGTAATGCATGTCCAATACAGTTTTGTATATAATCAGTTTCAACATGAAGCTCTTTACAGAAATTACAATTACAATGTACCACGATACAATATAACCATATAGCAACGCAATGGAAATGAACGCCAACTATAATTGAAACAAACCTGTAATTTAATGAATGAATTAATTAATTGTTTTTTTGCAGGACAACATTATTTGTTTTCCCTATACCCCCACCCCCCGCCCCTCCCAAAAAAAACCAAAAAAACTCGAACAAACAAAATAACAACAACAAACAAAACAATCAAACAAAAATCTAACACACACACACACATCCACATAAAGTTCCTGGAATACTGGAATAGATAAACTGTTTAAGAAAGAAATGCTCAGCAATTTACTTACTTGCAAACTGAATGTGCATCTGGTAAAGATTCCAAATTCGACAAAGGTTGAAGAGCCAGCATACAGTTGGAAATAGCATCTCTATTACATACTCCATGGACCACTGTAAAACATCAGAATATATACTCTTCGTTTACTCAGTTTACATCTCTTAAAATAATGATATAGATATCTAATAAAACTAAACTTTTACTTAATCTAATCATAATTATAGGGACTACAGAAGTGAAAAATTTAAATGCATGTATTGGATATATAAAATGGACATCTTCTTTTTATATGAATATTTGATGAAATTCTTGTTTCTGCCAGGCAAATTTTCAAATTTCTCTCATTCTAACTGTTTAAGAAGCGTCATATTGATAAATATGCACCAAAAGGTTAATAACGACGTTCTTCAAATTAAGTGTTTCTTACTTTTAGCCAGTATTTCTACACATCAACAATAATTAAAGCTTAAACGCTGAACGGTCAACAAAACATTTTCCCTATTCTTATCTGTAGATTTAAAACCTTACCTGTAAGAATATTCAATACCAATAAAACTGAAATTGTCTCTTCCATAGTGGACATCTTTATAACAAAACCTTGTGACTGTTATTAGAGATCTAAAATAGGAAAGTACTTAATGAGAGCACCATTTAGGGACTACAGATATCTTCCCTTTCTCTTTTGTATTTATAGCTACTTCAATCTTAACCAGAATAAATTATGATCGAGTTAATCTATTTGTGCAACTCCAATTCATTTTCTCACTTTCCCCATTATCATCGAACAACTGAAAACAACTCTAAAGATGCAGTGTACCCCTCGTTATATAAAGACAACTACGTACTTGAAGATATTAATACGAAACATAGTCTTAATTGTCATTCGATAAGCATTTACATGTACATAGATTTGTTGAAACTAAAGGTATCTTTCACTTACCATATATGCCTAATGTCAAGTATGACAGTTACTGATATTTGATCCGGAACAAGATACTTGCGTTTACTTATCATTTTTATCTATGACTACTTCATGTTAATACTTTCAATTATCCTCATTTGGATCCTCAGTGGTAGTAACAGACTTTCAATCATCCTCATTTGGATCCTCAGTGGTAGTAACAGGCTTTCAATTATCCTCATTTGGATCCTTAGTAGTAACAGAAGAAGGCGATGGTGGTGTGGGGTGAAGAGAATTGTGGAGATGCTTCTTATGAGTTGCAAATTACTCACGACTTCTTACGATTTACTCACAATCCCTTGCTAGTACTCCTCAGTTTTCGACGTTTATTTGAGTTGAGTAATGAGTTGAAAAATCAAAGCGCGAAAGCGCTATAAAGGCAGTTAATTACATGTTGTGTATAATTTTAGTCCAGTTATATCACTATCTTGCATAGTACAGTGTACTTATGAGAGGTGGTTTCCAGTGTTTAAGATTTAGAGTTCTCTAATGATATTGAACAAGTTTCATGAATGTCATATTCTGAGCATTATATGAAGGTGATTGTTCTAACTTGTTTATGAACTAGTGCATTATGTCCAGTTTGCACCCTGTTTACAGTCAAATACTGTTTAATATAGTTGGGCATTTTCTTTTTAGGAATAAATACCAGGTATCAACTGTATTTTATTCAACTTTGCAAATGTGGTTTGTTACTAGTAAGCATGGATGATAGTTGTTTAATTGGCAATCATACCATATCTCCTTATTTGTATAAATATCTATATTCAACGACCTAAGGTACAAATAAAAATGTATGTAACTAAACTATGATTGGAAACCTTTGACTCCTTTCTTTTATATAAACTTTTGATTTGGTAGCATAGAACTATGTAGAATACTCCTGTTGAACTTATCGTGCATAGATGACGTTGTCTATCTATCATTTTATATATGCATGATGTTAATTCCCTGCTATCCTTGGATTCAATAGCTTTAAGAATATGATGAATACTTGTTTATATGCCATGTATATGCAACACAGCTCATGGTAAAGTATGCCAACAACAATGCTGGTATTAAATCTCAGTACATTTTGATGTTTAAGGGCAATTTGTATTACTGTTACTTTGACATTATTAACTTGCACATAGTATATGTGTGTATCTGTAAAATTACATATTGATATACCAAGCATATATTTTAGCATGGTTGATGATAATAGATATTGTGGCATAATTATAAAATACACTTTATATGGATTATGTGACATAATGTTATATTAATTTTATTTGTAAACTATTGTAACATACAGTCAATCTCAAGATATCTCTTTTAATCATTAGTCACTGTATTGTGTGTATTGCAAGAACATCAAGTCGCATTTTTGCGACTGTCCAAAGTCAGGAGCCTCTGGCCTTTGTTAGTCTTATATGTTTTTTAATTTTAGTTCATTTATATGTTTAGTGTGACGTCCATTTCCACTGAACTAGTACATATTTTAATTAGGGACCAGCTGAGGACCACCTTTAGGTGCGAGATTTTTCCGCTGCATTGAAGATCCATTGGTAGCCTTCCGCTGTTGTCTGCTCTTTGGTCCAGTTGTTGTCTCTTTGACCTTTTCCCCATTTCCATTCTCAATTTTATCAAGTAACATAATGTTAAATGTTCATTGCAACATGTCAACTCTTTCGATGACAATACTTTTTCTAGAAACTTTAACTCCAAGCAAAATTATTTCCAAGTAGAAAGTAATTTATGAACGAAAAAAGGAGTTCTTAATTAAGAAAAAAAATGACACCTTAAAGACTTGTTGTTTGGTCACTGTCATAATAGTTGTCTCATTAGCATTTTAACCACCTCTCCATATCTGTAAGACAATAGAAGAGAATGATTCAACCCAAAAACAAAACTTAATTGTAAGATCTCTGAAATTCTCTACACGGTACGAGTTCTTCTCATTGTTGGTAATTGTACGGTTACAGTAACACCTGTAACTGCTTAAACCTATTTCTTATGCGCTTTGGTTTGATAAACTCACTGAATATCATACCACATCTCCTTATTTTATATGCATTACAAAAAAAGAAAAATCACAAAAATACTGAACTCCGAGGAAAATTCAATCGGAAAGTCCCTAATCACATGGCAAAATCAAATGACAAAACACATCAAACGAATGGACATTTACATGAAATTGAGGCATCTTTGATGAGTTTTTTTTTTTATTCCAACCTTTGCTGCTGTCAGTGTAAAAAAAATCATCAAAGATATCAGGCTAAAATTTTGGAACGCAAAACACGTGCGTTTCGTCTTCATAAGACTCATCAGTGCCGCTCGAACCAAAACAGTTGCAAATGTCAAATGTAGCAGTAAAGTTGACTGTCAAAACTTAGTCCATTTACTAGTATCTGTTGAATTAAATAAATAATCTTTTTCTTCAGATGCAATTCTTCATCATAAGCTACCCCGTTTCATAACATTAAATTAAAGTTTATAAAATTATTGGTGACTACAAAATATTGATGTCTAAAAAACTTAAACCTTAGACTTTCTAAATATTAACAGCATATAAAAAACTTAGTACAGTTATCAGTGAAATACTGGAAAAATTTGACATTTAAAAAATGCTCTGGATACTGTCTTTTAGTCATGAAGCATGCATTTGTCCCAATCCAGACAATTTTTCAATAATTCCAAGAAAGGTTTGACAAAGTTATATCTACGTCTGAAAAAAAACCAAAATAATCTAAGACTCTAGAGCAGCAAATGTGTCGATGTTTCGGATGCACTACAAGATATTATATAATAAGTTCAAGAAAAAAATACACAGGCGCTTATATACATAAACAAATCGTGTGTATATTGTTTTGATTCAGGACAACGCGTCACTGAGTTTACTATGTTTCCCTATAGGAAGTGTAATTCAAAGTTTAATAAAGGTTACCTGATTTATTTGGAATGTTATCGCTTTAGGACTTACCTGACGGAAATAGTTTAAATTATGAACCACTCTTGCATTTTAACAATAGAATACGAAATCCGAGCTACAGTTTAAGGCGAAGTGCGAATTCCCATAGTGCATCAAGCTTTATATTGTACTGCTTTTCCGTATCGTGAAATAAACACACACATAAAGATATCAAGGCTTGAGGATAGTTGTTGAAATTCCATCTGTTTGTTTGTTTGATATAGGTCGTAAGATTGCTTGAAAGCAATCTTTTCTCGAAATTCCACGGTGAAATAAAGTTTTTCTAAAAGGTTACTAATTGAACACTGTCAATAGATCTGTGAATGTTGTTTTATCGGCATAAAATATATTGATTTTATTATCGATGCATTAAAACCCAACTTAATGTCATTGATATACACATGTAATCATTCATGGTACCATATATCTGTCTATACCTATTTATCGTTGCTCAATGTCGTGTTTTTCTCTGACTCTTTACTCTAAATCCATTCAGGATGTTGGATGTGTACTGATTGGTATATTAGATACATGATTTTTCATAGTTGTTATTGGCTTTGGACTAGCTTTCAGTAACTGCTAGTACTCTAAGATTAGTAATGTGTGTCTTTTGTGTTTTGTTAGTTGTTTTTGTACTTTGTATCGATCTGTTGATTTATATAATTTGTTCTTATATTGTGAAGCTACACCACTGTCCAAGGTTGAGGGAGGGTTGGGTGTTCGCAAACATGTTTAATCTGGCCAATTATTTTTTCCGAGTCACATATTCCGCTATATAGTTGATGTTCTCTCACTAATTAATTTTAAATTTGGTGACTGAGTTGAACTCATCTATCCCATCGAACTTGAGATAAAGGATACAACAGATACAGTTAAGTCTGCCTCATATCTTGACTTACATCCAGAAATTGACAATGAGGGTCGGTTGAAAACAAAACTTTACGACAAAAGAGATGATTTTAGCTTCCCTATTGTGAACTTTCCATTTTTATATAGCAACATCCAAGCAGCGCCTGCATACGGAGTACATATCTCCCAGTTGATACGACATTCCAGGTAGTTCCTATCATAATTTCCTTGATAAAGGGTTGCTGCTCACGAGTAGGCTATTAAACAAAGAGTTCCAAGTGATTAAGTTGAAATCATCCCTTCGTAAATTTTACGGACACCATCACGTGTTGGTTGACCGTTATGGAATATCTGTTTCACAGATACCGACGATTATATTCAAATTGTCGTAAATACAATCCCGTCCCCTGTTCCCTGACCAAACTAGACTTATCACACACTAGCAACACGACGGGTGCCACATGTGGAGCAGGATCTAACCCTCCCGGAGCACATGAGATCACCCACGGATGTTCGTGTTGTTCAGTTGTTAAAGTTTTATATGTTGTCTTTTTTGTACTAATGTTTGTCTTTTTTTTTTTGCCATGGCGTTGTAAGTTTATTTTTGACGTGTGAGTTTGAATGTCCCTTTGGTATCTTTCGCCTCTGTTTCACAGTGGTTGTCGTTTGTTGTTGTATACCATATTTATTTTTCGTTAATTGTTTTGTTCATAAATCAGGCTTTTTGTCGTATCGGGACCTTTTATGGCGTACTGTGTGGTTTAACTGGTCCGCCATTCAATCTAATACTCCGCAGCGAATGGTTGTTATAAAATGACTATAAACCCACTTATTCATAGTATGGCATCAATATTTCTGACCTGACACTACGTACTTTTAATTGCTTAATTCTTTAGAATTTAATATGCAATGTTTCTGGTTTTTTCGGGAATATTCCCAGGTAAACCCTCATCAGAGGCCGACCTTTATATGTTTAATCCGTATCTAACATTATGATAGTAGATGGATGTGTGTCTGTTTCATAACAGTTTTTTTCTAATTTACTACTCGTGCATATAGGTCTACGTTGTAGCTAGTCTTTTTACAAACTAAAGAAACTGACCAAGTTGATAAGCACTATTGTTTAATTATCCATATATATAATGAAAAGACTTATTGTTTTTATTTCCATAAACTAATCTATCATAAATCTACACGGGATCTAGTAGAG